CCCCAAAACCCCAAAACCCCAAAACCCCTTCCTCCAAAATCCTCCTTGAATAATAAATATACTTTAAAATTCAAATGGAGTCTACTAAAGCTCACCATCAACCCCCGCTTAACTCTGATTCTCTTAGTACGTTAATCTAATTTTTTAGTCTCCTATATTACACAATTAAGTAGCTTAGATGAGTTAGAAGCCAGGACTGCTCTTGAGAAACTCTCCAAAGGAGCCGGAGATGCCACTGTGTCCAAGAAAATGGCCAAACAGTGTAAAATAGAAAAATTCTTGGCATCTAAAGATGTCACAGAGGTTAATTTGGCCCTTGATTTCTGCAGCAATGTGCTCAAGAATAATCCTGAAGTGGAATACACAGACTTTACAAAGGAACAAGTCTTATTGGATAGAATTAAAAGAGGGGAATCATCACGACAATGGGCAGAGATAGACGACTTAGGAACAACCCAAGATGAGCTTTCAAAAGCTTTCGAAGAGCATGGTAAAACTGTAGGCAGCGCATTCCAAGAACTTTATAATCATATTGAGAAAGTCAAAGAGCAACTTTCAGAGGATATTAAATAGAAATAAAAACGAAAATATCAGGCTTAATAATTATATAGAAGTTATGCGTGATAAGCAGCCTGATATCCACCCTAGCTCAGATCCGGAGCCAAAGTCCGCAACAGAGAAAGTTAATAACGTCAATAAAGCTTTTGACAGTGTTGATACAAAGATGGATGAAATAGAGCTCTTTATTAATGAAAAAGTCATCAAGCGGCTTGATCTAGTAGAACAACACGAGGATCAATTTGGAGAGCAGATTACTTCAGTTATAAATAAAATGAAATTTCTGAGTGAAAAATCGACTAAAATTGAAGAACAAATTAGTGAAAATAGGACCAATAATCTGATGAAGACCAATAGCATCTACGAGACTCTGGATGATATAAAACAGATAGTTCAGAAGAAAGTCAACCGGCTGGAAAAATTAGTGATTGACAAGGAAAACCAGGACATTCCGTCCTACTCTGACATGAAAGTGTCTTATGAGAAGGTAATTGAGTATCTAAATTATAGATAAAATAAACTTGAAGAGCAAGTCTTGGCCATGAGAACTTACCAAAATGAGCTAGATGAAGTCTTTGGACTTCAAAGCAAGGAGATGGACTCTTTGATCAAGATGACGGCTAATAATAATTATATTAAGATCAAAGAAATGGAAACCAATGTGGAAAGAACCAGGAAAGAGCTATCAGAAAATTGTTCAATACTTGACCTCAAGATGAAGGAAATCATGAAAGATATGGATACTGTGAAGAAAAATAAGAAGAGACTAGAGTCTTTAGAATGGGCAGAGAATGACTCTGCTAAGTTAGAGGTTTTAATAGCAGAATCTGAGCAACTCTGGACTTTTGTTCAAGGCTTTGTTGATGAGCAAAGTGTAACTAAAACAAAGGTGATGATGGATTTGGAGCTAAAACTAACTGAGAGAATGAATGCATTAGAGTGGGTGTCAAGGAATGCTATTTACCTGACTCCTGATGCTTTGAACAATTGTATTAGTGCATTTAAACTTCAATACAACAATGATAATCAGAACATAATCAATTCATATATTTTCTCTAGCCATCAGTCTGATCTCATTCATACAATTTCATCTAAACTTGAGACTCTTGGTCAACTTGAGAGAAACGATCAAAATGATAGGAAGATTTACTCCCAACTCTCTCTTCTAGAGCCTTCTTTGATAAATGATATGAATCTTGAAATAGCTCTTAGCAAGAATATTCATACAATTTTATTACGGCTTCTTAACATAAAACTGTTATTAGATAAGGAAAGTAAGTTTCAAGGAAAAATCTTTAGACAAGAACCAAGTCCCATGCTTGAAGTATCTCATGAGATGTCTTGCCAGTTCTCTCAGAACTGAAGAGTCAATCACTTTGTACATAAATATCAAAGATTGAATTAAAAAGCTTGGAGCAGTTCTTAAATATATTAATGATCAGGAAATCTTGGCAAATACTTCAAAGGTAACCATGGTTTTACACTTTAGTGTCTCCGCTTGTGATGCAAGAATGAGCAGAATATTATGGTTGTTAAGAAAGATTGTAAAGATTTCCCTAATATTCTTGTGGATACTCTCCATAAGAATGCTTACAGCTTGATTATCTTTCAAGAAATCTTACTAGCTCTTAAGTACTACACAGTAGCACTAGATGCTATCCCAAGCCTTGATATTAACAATCTGAAGATATTAGTAGAGCTACACAAGGAAAGCCAGAATGAGAAAGTCAGGAACAACATCAAAACTATCCTGGTGCAATGTGCTAGAATACTTGAGTACGAAGATGAGCTCAACAAACTTAATGCTGGACATATTCTCATTAGCTAAACTTAATAATCACAGGGAATATTAATATCTAATATTTTCAGATATTATCCTTGTCTAGGGGTTTTGGGGTTTTGGGGTTTTGGGG